AATGTAAAGAATAAAATATTGAACTTCTGGAGAATTATTATTTTTTACTTTGGTTTGGCTGCAAACGAGTGCTTTTAAATATTGTAAGACCAATGTTTTCAGCCGGGGCCAATGCAGCAACATCTATTGTTGTACTGCACTACGCTCCAATGTCTATGCTCCACTCCTTTGCCAACCCGCACTGACCAACGTGATGAAGTATGTTCATAACCCCATGACCCGAACGGTGTGGGGAGGCCCTCATCCAGCAGTGGATTGACGAAATGGCTCCACGTGTTCACCCTTGCTCACAGCTCGAGTGAAGTAAACGTTTAATCATATACACAGATGCTGACATTTCACACCGGCACTGCTGTTGGTGGCAATCGTAGCACTGAAATGTACATATGGTGATCTGCTTTCGCATGGTATGTAGCGTGGAGACAATGTTACTTTTCTCTTAAGAAAACTAAATCTGACTCGGATAGTCAAGCAAAATCTGACTGGGATACAAATTCGCCAGCACTTCAACAAGTTGTTTTTTTTTGTTCAAGAATTGCCCATATGTTAGCGACAAATAATTATGTTTCGGTCCGTAAAATCAAAGTCCAAAATCCGGTGGTGGCTTTGAACTTTATTCATAATCATACTTCTCTGAGAGTACATTCTTACCGACACCGTTTCTGAGAAGAGATATGAGTGCTATAGGTGAGCTCAGTATAAGAGGCAATGATAGAAAGCTCTTAGAGTATCCGGTCTCTGGTGACGTAACTGCTAAATGCTCCCTCTCATCAGCACAAAAAAGCGGCTTGGAATATAAAAGTAAAAAAAAAACAGTAATTCGAATAATCCAGAAAGGTCTCAACTTATTCTCAAGACTCTTTGAGAGGAACCCTGCTTGGAATGTTTGTCCAATTCCTTACTCGGCAGTTTGATGTGTATGCGGAAACAGGAGTATGCAGATAAGACTCACTCGTGTAATGGGATAACGCTCAAACATCCAAACAAACACAACACAAACCTACTTTCAGTACTGCCTTATACTAGCCACCTCGTATGCCCCAATATCTTTGTTTTAATCACTCTATAATGTATTACACTGAACAACTCATCCATCGCCACAAAGACATTCAAACAAGTCATAATTTTTAAAACATTTAAACACTTTTACATTTTGTTTTAAAATCCAACCCTAACCTGAGCGGAAGCAATCCAAAGGCTGCCAGCAGCAGCCTTGCCCTGTCCAAAAATTATCTCCTTGTGAGCCGTTTACAGGCCTGTAGTAACATCTTCACCGTCCAATGACTTAATCGCCAGCCTTCTAGGCGGCACGGCAGATGTTTACTGCCCATTCCATCATTAGACGCGGGCCCCCATAGCTTTATAGCTTAAGCGGAGTCAGAGGAAGAGCATTGTTAACATTTCCCAGGTGACAGAGTGGCGACTGGGGATGTTATAAACTGGCTCCTATCAAATACCTTTGGGATGATGCACACAGTTTGCATAACTATAAAGTTGTTAGCGTTCGCAAGGCAATGACTTTTATTCTTTTTCACCGCACTGCCATTGTAGCACGGCACAATGAATGAGTGAGCGATTTAAATATGCAAAACGTTTCGCACTGTTGTACGTTTAATTTTCGAGTGTATTGACTTCAGCGGTGTCGGTCAGTGTGTGCTTTTATTTCAACTCGGGATAAAGGCCTGCAATTAAAATAAATAAAGACCTGCAGTTAAATAAATAAGTAGAGGTCTGTATTTAAGTAACTATATAAATGCCTGAATTTTTATGACGACACCCTTTTAAGGGAACAATATGCCATAATATAGGACAGCTACATTATAATGCGCCATGATCAGCCCACTGCTAGATGAAGGCCTTCCTAAAGCAGCATATGAAACGAGTTTGCACACTTTATAAGTGTGCCACGCTTACTGCGAAAATGCTAAATTGAACGTATTGAGTTGTACAATAATTACAGCTTTTTGCTTGTGACCTGCATACATAGTACAATGTGAAATAGTTATGGAACAATTTACTACTTTTCTCTTGCAACCATTACACATTCGTGAACAGATACCTGGTGTGAAAAGATACGCTTTAAGTTGTGAGATGTCACAAGGTAAGGGAATATGGACATGTTTTATAGCCGTTTTCAAAGTCATAAGCGATAAAAAAAAATATTTTAAAATGTAACTTTGAGAAAAATGTGTTTACACACAGAACACAAAATGTTTAAACAGACTACGTTGGTTGTATTGGTTGTGCGTCATACGTGCAATACTGGATATATAAAAAATCTCTCCAAACACACATCAGCGGTCATCACGTGTTAGATCAAACCAGATCGAACACGCTGAAGGCTTGTTATCAACAGTATTGGTGTTTTCTCTATCAATACCATCTTAAGACGTAAAAACACGGCACACTGCCACCCCAATCCCGTTGAGGACAACCTCGATGTGGCGCAGGGCGAACCCATCCAGTGTCGGTCAGAAATAAACTGAGACAAAACCAGTCAATCCCAAGATATGGCGTAACGTGTCTGTGCCAGTCGTCTCACTGACATGTACGAACAACGAATCCCCCCCCCCTCCGCGCCCTTAATGCTAAATAATGAATGCTGCCAAAAGTGAACGATTCGCGTCTTTGTAGATGAGTTCCCTCCACAAACTGCTGCGCGCGCGTGTGTGCGTGTGTGTGTGCGTGCGTGTGTGCGTGTGCGTGTGGGTGTGTGCGTGTGTGTGTGCGTGTGGGTGTGTAGTTTGTGTCGGTCGTTAACGAGGATCTCGGAAGCAGAAACGGCCGAGGTTGTTTCACGAACGCCACAACACAAAAAGGCGAGCGAGTGGTGCCTCGTCCGACGGCTGCGGGCAATGAAGCTTTGCAAAAGCGTGCTGACAAAATAAACAACAAACTCAACCCTCTGTTTAAGATCATAGTTTGCTGGTTTTAGTGTTTTTGATATCGACTTATTTACACGTATCTTTTGTTTTGTTGCTGATTTTTTCGTATTGGCTCGTTATTCTTTTTTTCATTTATAGGAATCCAAGTGTAAATAACGCTTTTTTTATCGGCCAAAAAATATGTTTAACCTAACAACAATTTATTGTGTAAATGATGTGTCATTATTTAGGCAGGCCCACACAAGCATTGAACCCTAAGCCCGTATGAAATGTATTCACTGATTTGTTCCTGGTGTAAAATATATTACAGCAGATATAAACTGGAAAATGTTTAAACACCACAACAGATGCAACACTAAACACATCAATCACCTGGCAGTCTATGTTCAAGTTGAAAAGTTAAAGGTTGCAGGTAACTTTTTCGAACTTTTATGAAGTTACATTTGCATAGTTATTGCTGTTTCATAAATTTCTTAGTCAGCCAGTGCTTTTTAATTATTTATTTGGCGTATCTTTTCCAGTGCTATTTCTTTTTTCTTAAATGATGTTCAGTTATTAGTTTACAACAAAAACAAAACACGTTTAAACTGGCATAGGTTGCACTTAAATGTTTCCGCATATTACGTTGAGGCATTTAAATTTAACGTTCGAAAGAATGTGATAAGTGCTAACACACAATCATCCCACCCCATTAAATATTGAAATACCACATTGGCGAATTTAAGAAATGAACTTCACACTATTTGGGGTTGTTTCTTCGTCTCTAAGCGAACGTGTGTTATTGTAACTTTAAAAATAGACACAAAACCCAATCACATACGTACACATAAAATACGAATTCTATACTTTTTTACATTTTCTTGCTGTGGTTTTCACACCTGATGATGATTGCTTGTGATGCAATGGAAACGTCGTGAGCATTTTATTGTTTTATTTTTATTATTGTATTATTTCCCTTCTACGTGACTTTACCGAAAGAACCAAAAATATGAATCCCTGCAGTCACGAAAGCTCTAAATCTAAATTGAATCCTATGCTGTTCAACATGTAACAAAACGGCACTGTGTGGATTGTAAACACTACACGTTATCTCCGACGATGCGTTACGCTCCATCAAACAATTGTCTTCATTCTAGTTCAAGCGCACACACGTGAACATAAATCCTAAATTGATTGAACTCGCTGAAGTGGCTAGCATAGCAGATATCGTATCAGCGAAGTCGGCGACAGACAGAGTACAGGAAGTAGACCCCTGACTCTGAATCCTCTGAGGCTATTATTAGGCAAGCGCCGATTGCCGTCACGATGTTTCTGCGTCGTGTGCCCGGCTTCTTTGCCCTGAAGTGATCACAGATCGAGCAGCTGACATGCATTATTCACGCGCACGGCGGCGTGACTCACGGCAGGCAAATTCGCTGGAGGGCGATGTAGATGTTTTGTAAAACGCGCGGGGTTGGGATCGAACTTAGTGTTGTGAGGTTGAAGGCAGACGCCGTGGACTGTCGCCTCGTCACGCTCCGGGCGCAGTGTGTGAGGAGACCGCCGAGTGCAGGTACAGCCTCACAAATGTGTGGTACTTAGTCCGTTTACTAAGTCCACGTAAGTATTTTTGCAATTACAACAACAAAAAACCGTCGATTCTCATTACCAAAAAACGCGCAGCCTCAAGTGTTCGTCAAAATTGTCAGCGTCAATGAAGGTCGTTACATAATTTCCCCGTGGATTATAACCTCTCTCGCGCTGTACAATACGCGTTTACGTAAACAAGGGAGCGAGCTTACACACACACGCACTGAATTGTTGATGACAAGTGTTCTATTCCTCCAGATGAATGAATCCCCACGCGGTGTTGGCGATCTGTTTTGAGTTTGCAAGCGCGTTCGGACTGAATGAAGGCTTTTCTCGGAGTTAACAACGTAGGCTTTCGCGACCAATATTATTCATGATAAAGGTCGTTGGGTTAGATAAGCTTAAATGCGTCGTAACCCTCCGCCGGTAGGATTTGTCACGTAAGCAAAAGGCGCCAATTAGTGACGACCTGAGCCCACAGGTGTGTTGGAGAGCAACATCCACAACGTTTACAAGTCGAGGGCTCCCTCACCGCGCTTCACTCACCTGTTGCGCCGGACGAAGACGGGTGACGAAGGCGGACAGGTCTTGACCGTTCACGGTCTTCCCTGTCACGCGTGAAAACAACGACATTTTCATCAGAACCGGGCGGCCCAACGATTGCTAATTGTGTCCTTCAGGTTCAGAAGCAGCAGAAGAGGAGTAAAAAAAAAATCAACAGTCAATTTTTGTTTGCAGCGCCGATCGGGGGACCCGTCAACTTTCGGCACGTCTCGCCTGCTTCAAAATCGACGGCGATATCCTTGGGGCAAGACGCGGCTGTCTCGTCCGCCGGGGCTGCTGGAGACTCAAGGCGCATTCACAGCGCTGCGTGTGAAAATCTCAACGTCGTTGCGCTGCGAGACAACTCACCTGCAAGTGCTGCGGAGTCCCCTGTGTTTAATCTGTGGCCCCCTCCGTAGACCCCCTATTTATTCCCGTCTTGCCCGTCCTCTATCTCGACAGCGAATGCGTGCCCACTCCCCAAAGCGGCCAACCTTTAAACCGGTATTCTGCCTCCGACCCCTCCCTTCGCCTCCCCCTCAACTCCCCCCCCCCCCGCCTCTCTAAACCAAGCCCAGGGCTCTCAAGCATCACCCACAATGATGTTGATGACGCACCCCCCACCAAGCTAAAGGAGGGGGGAGGAGGAGAGGGGGGGGGGCTCCTCCCACTCACCCTCCGCCCCCCACCTTTTACGTCTCAAAGGCCACGTGACTCATATCGCACCCAGAACACTAAACCCAGAAACCTTCTGGATCCCCCCCCCCCCCACCATCTCATCCTCCTCCCTGTGACACCAACTGACCTATTTCCCATTGCGTATCAACCTCCCAGTTGACACATAATAGTCGTGCTAACTTTTCCTGAATCATCAAATGGACATGCGAATGGGTTTTTTTATGAGCATTTTCTTTTTTTTTTAACTCGGGATTTCTCCCCTCCCACAAAACAACTTTAGCGATTGAATGGATGTCATTTAGCCAAGCCAACATTTTTTTTTGGCGGCCACTCCTGTCACATTTTGGCGTCAATCAAAACACGGCATTCTTTGCGATGGAAGGCGTTGATCGACTGTCAGTTAATTTCGCGTGATTTAGTTGCCGGTGATTTTGCCACCAAAACACAACGGCTTAATCAACATTGACGCACTTATTACCTTTTTTTTCTTCTTCTCTAACGACAGTACTTTGCTTTTGGTATGTCCCGGTATCGTTACCGCAGCTGGAATTATTGGTAACCATCAACACTTTTTTATACGATATGTTAATCATGAGATTATCACACGGAGCTTTATATATTAGACGTCATAAAATGCGTGACACTTGTTTTTATATATAAACATGTAATATATGCACCTCCTATATTTGCATACCTGTTTAATTACTTTGGGTGCAGCTGTGACGTGCGGATTGACAAACTGCGCCAAGAACCCGATGACCTGAGTTGTATCCGAGCCATGGATAACATCAACATCAGATGATGCGTACAAAGGTTTTACATGGATTTAATTTTATAATTAGTTACACGAACAAAACATTGAGTAACCGTATTAGCAGTGATGTACAAACACGAGTCGACTGCTAAGTCAGGCTCCAGATTTTAGTCACTAGAACATATTTCTGTACAATTTCAAAACGTAGTTTATTTCATTACCATATCGTACATCAGCAAGCCTCTCGCAATGTTCACTCACACGAGGACCTCCTCACGCCGTGCACGTCATGCGGGCGCAGGTTGGCAGAGTCAAGAGGCAAATACGATGGAGCATAGAAGTACGGCACAACGGTCGCTGACGATGCGCTATCGTTCGCTTGCCATCCACGTCTTCCAAAAGCGGACTATGGTGACGACCTCTCGGTACTCAGTGCGAAAGAAGTTCAACATAAATATCCAACCTTAACGCTGAGATGTGACATTAGCGGGTGCATTCCAGGTGATTTGGTTAAAGGCTTCACTAGCATACAGATTTATTATATTTCCGACGAGTTATAGTTTCGGTTTTCAGAACCAAACGTGAAAGACAGGTTGGTGTGTCGAAGGCAAATGACTCTTCAGAGTGGAATGTTTAAATGTGGTTATTTCAAGATGTCTTGTTCTAAACTTAGAACTTTTGACTTTGTGTAAGGTGTGTGTTGACATCGCCACCTGGGAGAGAAAGGCGGACGGGCGTGGCGCTGGCCACCCTCCACCTCTTGTGCCATGACACCTCATTCGAGTTGAACGTCAGCCGAGCCTCTGTTAACGCCTGATGATGCTGGCTGTAAATCTCAGCCGAAACGTCGGATACAATTGTTGGAAAAAAAATCCGCTCGCTTGTGGACATTCCGGCTTTTTGCTGAAAAAACCCCAAATCGATTGGCACAATTGCCCTCGTGACTAGTTAGGCTACTTCGGGTGGCGGCGAGTATAGCTGAAAATTGGCATGACACCTCCACGAACTAAGTAGTTCTTAATCACAACATTGGCCGTGAAAGCCTCCGTATAAAACTGACCTGTTGTTGTTTACAGCTGTATTTGCCTCCCCACTGCTTTCATCTAGAGCTGAGGCTGTTATCCGATTGCTGAAAGTAATGGATTATTCTGCCGATTATCAGTTCCATTACTCGACGAATCAGACAACACGTAAATATTTGAAGAGGAAAAAAAACGTCTTGCATATGTCCCTTGTGCCGCTGGACGGGATGTGATGGACGGAGCTTGGTGACATCATCAACATCATCACGTTTGACGTGGATTGTAAGGGTTTCCTGCCTTTTTGAGAAAGGGTGTTGAGAAGGCCTTCATCCACCAGTGGATTGATCACGGCTAACGATGATGATGATGCACTGTGTCAGTCGGTATGCTTTTAGTGATTATTTTTTTGTGTGGTGAGATGTTAACTCCCTCGCCTGGTATGCAGGAGGTCGTGGATTCGTTCTCGACCCTGACGCCTGCTGTATATTTGGAGTTTGCACGTTCTGCCCGTGGTCGCGTTAATTTTTCTCCGGGTCCTCCGCTTTTTCCCTCCATACTTAGAATCAACAACACGCGTTTACAGCATTTGGCTGCTACTATGAATTTCCACGTGATAAGCCGCTTTCGTTCTGCTATCATTTGTGATAGCCAGGTCGCTTCTGAAAAAGATATCCATAGCTCAGTGGACCTTACCTGGTAAACAAAAAAAATGCTTGATTGCGCGTAGACACACACACACGCGCACAGAAACAGCAGTGCTGGGCTGCCACCTAGCCCCTCGACATTGCAAGTACAGCATTGCGTTTGAGCACTTGTGGCCATGAGCAACAAACCGGTCTTTATTACGCCACTCTCCTTTAAATCAGGCGACACTGTTGAGATTCATTGCGTAAGCATTAAAAGGTTACTTACAGAGTACATATTCATATTCTTGGTTCTTACCGAAAGAACCAAGAAAATGAATCCATGCAGTCACGAAAGCGTTCAATCGAAATTTTACAGAGTAGATATTTCGAGGAATGGTTATCAGACGTGGCCTATTGCTAGCGCAGTTGCCACTTGTTTGTTTGTACGTAGAAGTTGACGGTTCGATTTCAGCGGCCACCCCGGTGATTACTGTGGCTGTATTAACCGTCACAATTCCCACCGTCTCCTTCACAAGCGGACGTTAAAGATCCCCTGATGCCAATCACAAGGGCAGGCCATTGTGTGTGCCGGCGGCAGAGTTCACATTTGCCAACCAACACTTTTTTTTATTTGCGCCTGCAAATTACTAAATTTGGATTACTCACACAGCGGCAATTATCATTCCCTCGTGGCAAAAACGAATGCCTCATGTCACTCTTGCAAATTAGACTATTCTGGTCTCTTGAGTTCTCATCTGTTTAGTTTGTCCCCCCCCCCGTGCCTTCGATTAGAGTGGTTGGCTACGTACGATGCGAAAGCAAGTTCACCATACACACATGCATGATTCAACAAAACACTTGAACTTGATTGTGCGCAATTGTAATACGCATGTAGAGACCACACCTTTTTTTACCTGGCATGTTTTGGCTTAGATGTGAGCGCACTGCTGGATGAAGGCCAGCCTATGTTGTGTCGCTCATGGGAGTTGTTATGGTCATACTTCATCGTTCTGGTCATTGCGCGTTGTTCACCAGGGAGGTGCTCAGGACCAGTGCAGATACCACTCGCCACAGACTTTATTGTGGCTAGAAATCAAAATAAGAATCTTCGTTTATCTTGGAGAAATCCTATGAGCTATAAAGCTCTTTTTCACAGGGGTCAGGAAGTTCAAACAACAAACAGTGCAAACATCGATAGGAAAGCAAACTTTAGTAAAGGAAAGCATATCACAAAAAGTAAGTACATAACATAGCCAAAGTATATATAAGTTCAAATTTCTTATGTGCATTATTTCCCAAGCTTGGGCAAAGCAGCAAAACAACAGCAAGAACAGTCCCACACCACACCAAGACCACAAATCGAGCTCAGTGTTGTAGAGTAAACCTACAACATTAAACATTCGAGTACGACGTTTTGCCAGTAATTACAACGAGCGTCATCAGGTGACAGCCAGGTTGTGGCTGATGATGCTAGTTGTAATTACTGGCGAAACGTCGTACTCGAATTGTAAATGTTGTGGGTTTACTCTCCAACACACCGGTGTGCTGTACTAGTAACAAATTGGCATGTTTTGTTTACATGACAAACATTACTAATTGGCTGTGCCAGGTGGTGGCGGGTTTAACGACACATTCATATTTACATGATATAACCCAAAAAACCTCTATGATAGATAATACTGGTCGCGAACGCCTACTACGTGTTAAACTCATATTTAAGCAAGTTCAGCACATTTTTTTTCTCAGAATATTTTGCTTAATTCCTGAATTGAGAATTTTTGTTACGTGTGGAGAGGAAAACCGATATTGCAGGTGGAGCATCACTCACCTCTCACGTAAACAGATCAGAATGCCAACTGCGCTGCCACATTCGCGCGCCTCATTGCCCCTGCGAGAGGCTATCACGAACATTCCAACACTCCGCTGAAATGCATGATCCGCCAACAACACCGCCAAGCCGCTGGATAAAGTGCACGTTACCACCACACTGCGTGCATTACATCATAGGGCCCTCTGACATTCTCTTCCCAAACTTGGCTGATAATGTGTCACAATGTTGGTGGATTGGTGGGTGGTTGGGTCGGTGGGTGAGTGGATGGGTGGGTCGATGGGTGGCTTGGTGGATGGTTGGGTCGGTGGGTAGTTGGTTGGTTGGGTGGTTGGTTGGGTGGTTGGTTGGGTGGGTCGGTGGGTGGGTCGGTGGGTGGGTGGGGGATGGGATTCTAGGCGGTGAACCAACCATCGCTGTTGCGGACGCAACAGCGGCGCGCTCTCCAACCGTGGGGCTCGCTCAATCGCGTGTGGTTCAGTTGGGTCTGGATATTTAATGCTGCAAAATCACCAGGTGCATGGCTTACATAAAGCGGAGATTTCACGTCTGTGAGTGCTGCTGTCACACTCGCTCCGTAATTGGCTCCAGCGT